TGCAGCCAGCCCGTTCGGCAGAATTAGAACACAGGCCAAACTATCCTCTGCAACGCCTTAATCACTGGAGCATTTATGCATGGATAAATGAGAGATGCTAAGTTAGTTGAAATCATTAAAATTTTCAGAAGCTGAAATTTAGCAGATTACAGGGATGATAAATACTTTTGTAGCATAAATTACTGTATCGCACATTCATTTGATGTGACACGAAAAATAGAAAATGTAGATATTTCTTGAGTGAGAAATTAATAATCTGTCACTAATTGCATTCCGAAGATAAGTGATTAAACCAAAGATGGTCAAGCTGATGATCCTGAATATTATAACCTTACCTTTCCTTTCCTAACTACGCTATTTTATTTGTTGGCTCCACAGTAACTTCGTATTTTTCATTGAAGGCGAATTCCTTTTTTCAGTTGTTTGCGCCTAGTTCAGTAGTTCGTTAGAGAACCTAGTTTTCCGCTTTTCAACTACATCGATGAAGAAAAGTGCCCTGAATGCCAATTGGAGCAGTAATAGAGGAGGAGAGAGAACGTGAGGTATTCGTATACGAGATGCCGCAGTTAATAAGGATATAAATATAAGAATACATATAAAAGCACTGCTATAGTTTTTTTGTTTAATAACATTTAAATATGGTAACATTAAAATGCAGTAAAGACATTAAAATAGCCCAGAAACTTTGTTAGAAAATAAAGAGACGCCTTAACATATTCAGTTAACAAAAGAACTGTAAATGTTCAAAAAATTATTTTTAATAAAAATTGTTTTAAACGACATGTACTCCGTAACTAATACGGAAGTATTTTTTTAATTTTTAGAATATTTTAACTTTTAAAAGTATTTTTAGTAAATAATTATGTATTTTCACTGGTAAATTCTTCATTCAGTTATTATATTGCGATATACAGTATTATTCTCCTTCAGTAAATGTATCGAAATTATTTTAAGAGATTATTAGCAATTTGAAAAAACACTTCAATAACGTAATTAACGCCAGAAAATATTTTAAAAGGTATATAGATTTATTTCAGAAATAGATAAGGCGTATTTCGATGGCTGTACATTTTATCCCGTATCCGTAAAACAAACACAGTTCAGTTATGAAAAATTCACATATTCCAAGAAGTTAGCATCGTAATCAACAGAAAGCTCCGCAAGGCTGTAGCGGTTAATTTAAGTTTCTAACAGTTATTTTAAGCTTAAACATGATCTACTATTCCCTACCGTTTATAATATCGCTTTTTATGCAAATGAGTTAGTGGCGCGTGTTTGCTTTCTGCCTACTTCGTTCTTGAATCTATTACCCTCGACCGTATTGCACGTGCCTGTTGAGGCTAGGTTAAATTAAGGGCCAACTACGTTAGGTACTTTTCTCTAACTTCGATCAAGTCTATTTAGTTTAGCATTAGATTAGTTTCTTATTATCTTATCCTGATTTAAAAGCCCGAGTGAAGGCTTTCCTGTAAGCCCGAGAAGGGGGCCATCTGTTATTATTATTATTATTATTATTTTGAGTGAATAAAAGGGTATTTTAACCTTTTTCGAGACTTTGTCTCGAACTCAGCGATAATTCGCTACTTAGTTCACTGGATTCCTCTGTATTAATTTTAGGCAAAGTACTGAGGAACATTACGAGGCAATAAATGAAAAGTTAACGAATCTGAAGGCAAATCATCTTATCGTTCAGTTTAGCACTTGCAATAATTTTACTTACTTTAGGGTAGTGAAAACAGCATAAAATCTTAATCTACTTTGATTATAATATAAGTAAAGCCTCTGATCAATGACAATGTATTAGTCATCAAGATTTCGAGGAAAGGATAACTATATTGAGTTTTTAAAATGCACGGGATGCTCGTGCCGCTAATTGCAAAATATCTAAAATTTAAGAGCACGTAGTATTTAGTCGAAAGATTAGATTACCATTAAGGATGCCTTCGTGAAAGTATTTTAAGGGAAACTCGCCCATATTTATGTTCCACATGAAAAAAAAAATATCTACATCAGAATATAAACTTCGTTAATTTCTGGGCATAGGAATACCGCAACAAAAGTATTAAGGTTAATAATATGAAGCCTTATTACCATGATTTCTTCCTACTGAATATTAATGAAATAAAATAAAGTCTAAAATATGTGTGCGTCAAAATCATTTATCTCTTGATTAAATGGATGAAAATAACTGCGATCTAAAAAGTCGAGAAACATCGTTACAATACATGATACATGATACCGTTGTTAAACATTTACATCTGTACGCTAAAAGGCCAGAAAAAAATTAAAGGAATACTATCGAAGGAAGAATTACAACATTATGGCGTTGCAGTACCTTAAACATCACAGACAATCGTACCATATTAAAACAAATACTTATTGCGTTTAAATATTGTATTTTACATTCATGAACAATGTATTGTTGTATTTTGAAAGATGACTGCAAAATGTTTCCTCTTAAATCCAGGCAGACCATTGAGTTTTCTATTAAACTGGTGATCTACAAAATGTTTTCATTTCTGTATCATTGTTAATTTAATATAATTCTACACAAATAGTGGCATTAATTAAAGTTTGATGAGGTTACCAGTAGCAAAAGATTAAGTCCAGTTCCGCTAGGTCTGCAATGGCAAAAATATACTCAATGAATAGCACTTCTAATCCTAAATAGCTAAAAAGTCGGGATCTTCAGTTTGAATAATCCATACTAATGTACGAAATTCACACTGGCTAACGCGATTAAAAATGATACATGAAAAAATAAAAATAATACATTAAAAATGATACATGATACGAAATTACTGCTGATTTCAGATATATTTTTCTAAAATGTAGGCTGAAAACCTTTTTTAGTACCTGCATTATACAAAATTATGTAAATATAGGTCAACCGATGCCCTGCTCTTAATGCATCATCACCGAGCTCGATGACTGGATGATCAAATTCATACCGCTGTCTGTATAGAATAATATTATAATTAGAAGACATCACAGTAACATCAAATGGCATGATGTGATGAATTTAAATTATGTCACGCTGACAGGCTATTTAGAAGCTGGTATAGGCTCCAAGAAGCTGTAGTTTTTTAATGTCTCCGAGGTGTTTCTCAAACAACCTGAACGATTTGGAATGCATTCATACGTCGGAATTAGTTCTCTCTTTGATATGGATTCTACTGTGACCGCTTCTGAGTTACATGATCATTCTCTTAGATCATCTTTCCTTCATTCTTATCCAATTTCCTGAAGAGGAAAAATTATTTCAATAGGTGTATTCAATGTGCCACCCATTGGCAGTTGATATTTGATGGCTTCAAGAACATTTCACACATTTTACCTTCATAATAAACTTCCGTGGTCTCCTAATATAAATCCTTTGGATTACTTATGATTCGTAGTGAAACAAATTTATGAAAAATGAATCTTGTTTTAACCAATTTCAAACAGTTACGGGATACATTGTAGGATCTGTATATAGCCATCTTGTACACTGTACCCCACTACGAGGCGAAGTGACACTCTAAGTTTCCCCAAACGCAGTATATACATAACAACATTTTCCTTAGAGAAGGGTAAGCTTATCCGCGAGATGTCTGTGTGTCTGTTTCGCTACAACTCTGGCGAATATTGCCCTCCACGAACATAATTTTCTTTGATGAAATACATATATATATTTCAGCTAAGAAAATTATTGAAAATTATTTTCGTGGAGGACAATATCTGCCAGAGTTGTAGCGAATCAGACACACAGACATCCCGCAGATAAGCTTACCCTTCTCTAAGAAAAATGTTGTTTTATACCCTTTTCCAAATAGAAAGGTTAGTTCTTTCTCAGAAATATCCAATAACTAACACATGTTCATATGATCTCTTTACGACGTTAAAAAATGCTCACTAACGCTCGCCTGGGAACTGTAAGAGATTTTAAAGAATTTTTTGGTTTCTATAATATACACAAGATACATCGGCTTCCTACTACTTGATTACTCATAACGGAAAATATCAGACTTCCCGATGACAATCGTCACGATACTGTCAGGAAGGATCAAGCATAGAAACAAAACAACAGGTACAAAAGGAACGTTTCATAATCGCCCGCAAACGTTCAGAATAAGACATTAAAAAACGGAGCGCGCATCGAAAATATTTGCAGTCATATATGTGCAAGCGTAGTGCTTAACCCCATTATATGATAAGCTGCATTCGTTCCATTCGTGGCAGTGATTGTTGCTCAAGTAGCTTGATAGAGAGAATGAGCGACTTCTAAAAAGTGCGTTTAGTCAGAATAGTTTACTCCTAACATGCACAGTCAAATAGTTTACTCGTAATAAGTATGTTTAGTCAAATAGTACGTCACATTTAGTTGCAAAATTATCCAAATGGGATTGTACACATATTACGGTAGAACTATTAGTGACATATGTGACGTAGAAATAGCTGAATACGTAAACAATCACTTGAATGATAGTTACTTAATGTATCGCAGCAAAAACAGGAAGAAAAAATTAAATTAGGACAAACTGTCACGGCTCTTGTGATAGGCGGCAGTAAGAAACACAAGATGGTATTGATTCGCCAGCATTAGTCATTCAAATTCTAGAAAGCGCGTGTCATGAGACTCATTGATAATAGAATGCTTCCAACTTTACAGATATATTACATTTATAAAGGCTGCAAATACTGTGGGCATGCGAGCTATTTTTTTGCCGTATGCTGGGGATCCACAAAATGCTATATTTTGTACCTGTTATTTTCATTTTGTACCTTCACCGCGCTTCAACGTTTCGTGGTGGTTGCCGTAGAAAACTCCAATAGCTTTTCTTCTTAATGAAATACAAAAAAAATCAGATAACTATTTGAGTTGTGCAACATGGCTGGCAGTGCGAACTATCAAGGAAAGTGTAGAAGAAGTACAGTTTCGATTTCATCCTTGGCCATACTCTAAACGCAAAGAAACCTACAGAGCTAAAAAATAACTAAAGATATCAAATACTACTTACTGTCCAGACAAATCTTTTGTGCGTAGATGGTGAAGACTGGAAACTGCGACGAAGTAAGGGCATCTGGTCGCTCCCGGGCGCTAGAGCTGAAAAGAACGCACAGTCCTGTCTCGAAGTTGACTGCCCTGCAGGAAGCGTTGTGTCGACAATATGACAGACACTCCGTTAGGTGGAGTGTCCCAGGGACTAGTTCGATCGTGTCATCTGGAGCCGTAAACACGAAACCCGTCACCAGCTCAAAAGTCTGCTTGTCCTTACCGCAAGCTGGAAAGAGAAAAATATGAAATTTACTTTTTTAATATCAAGTTATTTCTAGCTATTAGATATATATTATTTACAACTGGTTTAATTATGAGATCTATACGAATAGGTATCGCATTGAAAGTGAAGATAAATTGATAATCAAATACAATCCGGTCACGTAAATCACGAACCTTCCCAACATTTAACCTATTTGCTGTAAAAGAGTAGCTTCGAAAAATGCAGGATGTTATGACGAACTTTCAGCATTTTCTGAAATGCGCTTGGAGGGAAATATTTACCAGAAAAAATTAGAAAGTTCTACACTGACAGTCGTTAGACTGATTTAAAAAAATTTGATGTGTACACCACATGACTTCCTTGTATTGGAATATTAAATTATACACATTTTTTCTTGCATTTCGTTTAAACTTAGTGGATTGAATTAAATCTACTTCGCCGACAGCGCATAAACCACAACAGAATAAATGCATTCTTTAAAATTCACTCTAGTATTTGTTTACCGTAGCGACACTCTGGCGCTAGATTCACTTAACAGTATAAATAATTATATAACAGTTAACTCATATAATAATTATATAACGGAAACTAAGTTAACTGTTATATAATCCAATAATTATATAACAGTTAACGTATATATTTCGTTCATATTATAACTCATAATGCACAAAATTTATATCATTTAAAGAATAGAATTATATGATTGTTGCCACATGTTCTATTCAAATACTATAATAAAGCTAGAATGATGCATAAAAGAACATAAGCAAACAAAAGAAAAAAGAAACAGTTTTTCGAAATCGAAATCGAAATCGAGTGAATGGTTAGGCAGCATTTAGTAGCCTCTGCTACTTTAACCGTCTCTGTTTGAGATATGCCCTAAGGCGTTGGGAAGTTTAATTAATTCAGTTCTCACTACGCGAGAAGGCAAAAATACATAAAAACTCAAAATATCTATATTAAAAATTACGAAGTAAATCTCAAACGCTTATTTCCTCGAAAAAATTCCAGAAAAGAATTAAGCATGATTTAATTGGCAATAATAAATGAATGCGTTATCTTTGTTGTTGCGAAGCTAAGTTTCTCTAGATTGGCAACAAATCCACTTGTCTCCTGTTTCAATGTAAACATCAATGGCCGCCATTAAAAACAGGCTTAGCGGCAATTAAACAACTTTAAAATTGCCGATAATTCTAAAAATATTGCACACAGATTTACTAAAGGCATAAAATCCTTAACCGGAAGATAAAAACAACATAATTCAATCATTTTTTAAAGCAAAAAATGTACAATTTACAAACATATAAGAGTAAAGAAACTGAGATCACTGAGCCGGGGGTAATAGAGTGAATATATATATAAATATATTTATATACGTTTGGTGCGGCCGATTGCAACCAAAATACGAGGTGCACATCTACATGTCATAGCAGTCCTATATACAAAATTTCAACTTTCTGAGGCTACTCGTTTTTGAGTTATGCGAGATACGTACGTACGTTTGTACAGACGCCACGAAAAATTCTCTTCAGAATTAATTTTAAAGCAGTTTTATAATTTTTTTGAAGGAAAAGAGTATTTTATTCTGTCCTTACGTACAGATATGACGCAAAAACATCGGTTAATTGCATTCGATAGCGGTCAAAATGGATAATTTCGTTGAAATATGCTGCCTGAAACTTTTCGCGATTACAATACTTCCTTTTTACTTCGTACAAGGAAGTAAAAATGTTAAGATACTCCTACACATTAAATTGAATAAAAGATTAAACTGTTGAGTCACAAGTACAACTACCATTTAAATAATTGAAATAATGCTAAAGCAGACCCTCATAGTAATTTATCCAGTTTCTATTTCTGCAAATCATGATTTTAAATTCTTCCTTCTTGACACCATCAAATGAGTATAATCATGCCAGGGAATATAAAACTACAAATTATTCAAAATTTACTTAGAATTATATATATACCCATAGTGGCCATAATTAAAGTGACAGTGCTCACAGTGTTCTGTAGCGCAATATATTTGCGAGAATGACGCCACATTTTGTAGGAAGATTAAACAAGACGGGGGACGAAGGATTCCGCGAAAAATAATTAGTTCCAAAAGTCACCGCTAGAGGAATATTTGGCGCTGTGTAATAGAAAATAGAGTGTTAACAAATGCAAATTAATGCGGAATAAAATTTATCGTAGGTCCATTCTTCTATGAGAACATTACCCTGACAGGACCGGAAACCTGTTCTGTTACGGGAGAGAAATATCGCCACATGTTGAACAGCTTTGTCATTCCTGCACTTCAGCAAAGACAATGCCTGGGGAAAATCATTTTCATGCAAGATGGAGCCCCTCCACACGTTGATGTACGGGTGCAGCAGATGCTACGACAGAAATTCACAACAGAAAGAGTCATTAGCCGCTACTTTCCAATTGCATGGTCACCTCGGTCGCCTGATCTTACCCCATGCGACTTCTGGCTATGGGGTTACCTTAAGTCCAAGGTCTATCAAGGAGTGGTCCAGGACCTGGCTACGTTGAAGGATAACATATCACGGACTGGACGGGAGATTCCTGCAGTCATGTTATTTTCTGCTGTTGTGCATATTGTGCACAGAATGTAATATGTGGTCCACAACAACGGCAGCCCCATTGAACCTCATTTGTATGCAAAGTAAAAGGTAATTTCCGTATTGATTTGCATTTGTTAACACTCTATTTTCTATTACACAGGCCAAATATTCCCCTAGCGGTGACTTTTGGAACTAATTTTTTTTCGCGGAATCCTTCGTCCCCCGTCTTGTTTAATCTTCCTACAAAATGTGGCGTCATTCTCGCAAATAGATCGCGCTACAGAACGCTGTGAGCACTGTCAATTTAATTATGGCCACCCGTTATAGATATCTTGTGATGGCTCCATATCAGCAATTTAAATCTATAAGTATTCTTTCTGGCTTATAAATATTGCCAAATTCTTCTCAAGAACTTCAAATAATATCCGCAAGTAAGACAACACAAGTCTAGTATCGTCTCTTGTACAGCTTCATACATCTCCCGGCTTCATGAGTAGTTGAACCCTTTGTTTTTCTAAAATTTCGAAGAATACCCATGTGCCACATTTGGAGTAGATGTATTGTACAGCATGGAAATATTTACTTATATCCACAGACCTTTGCCTATATTTACATATCTGTATATATCTAGTGTATATAAAAGTTTGCACACGGCCTGGGTTTCGCAGCCGTTGGTCACAGGCATACACTTCCACAAAAGTATTTTTAATGAAGTATTTTTTTCATTCATATTGTGCATTTTTAAATTTAAAAAAACTAATTTATAAGAATTACGAAATCACCTTTTTCGTACAGTCTTCCGATATGTTTACCATTTGTAATATATTTCATATTATTCCCGGTCTATTTCATAGCATAAAGAATGGAATTCTGCAATCATTATAGTGATTGCTTAGCGAGAATATGTGCAAAACCTTTATCAAAAAATGTTACGATATTAAAGAAAGTAATCTAAATCGAACTATTAAGTTTCGTTTTGAGATGTAAAATACAGATCAATTCAGGGGTAATGTGCGCCGAATTTTGTGTCTCTGGACCATTAAAATTGTGGATCGCTCCATATCTCCGAGATAGTAGGTACATAGTCTTTACTTTTCCTTGCATATTTATATACAGGGTGTTTCAGCAAAACGGTTGTAAACTTTCAAGAGAGATAGAGCACACCTAAACGATGGAAAAACACCTTGCAATGCATGGTCGTAAATGCTTTCCTGTGGTGGTTGTAACGACACAAAACGCAAGAAAGGAAGGACACGAACAGGGTGGGAATAATGCTTATTATGCTTAGTGCAGCGGAAATCCAACAATAGGAGCAAAAACAGACTATCGTCGTCAAAGAACGCGCTCGAAATAACGACACAGACCGGGACGCAAGAACCGCGCGTCATGCATCTTCTTACGTGATGCAGATCTTTCATGCAGGCATCATAGTCCGGGATCGTGATTACGAACATCTTCTTTAATGTTGATCGTTTTTTTTATTTTTGTTCTTATTTATTGGTTTCTGTTGTATTAAACATAATAAAACATGTTTTATTGACACTGTTAGTGCCTTTTTTGTGTTTTATGTCGTCACTACCGCGCCAAGAAAGCGTTGCCGACCATGCATTGTTGTTTGATTTTTCATCGTCTAGGTGTACTCTATCTCTCCTGAAAGCTTGTAACCGATTTGCTGAAACACCCTGTATATGTTATATTAGCCTCCCAATCACCATTTAATTGCCTAACTATAACCATCTTATAAAGGGAAACTGAAAGGCCATTTTCTCAATGTCCTTTGAGATTGATAGTTTTGCAAGGCATATAATAGGAAGTTCTAGTATCATTGATGGTGTGGTGTGGTGTATTTAATTATGGCAAAGCACACTAGGGCTATCTGCCTAAGGGGAGGGATGCCTTTCGTGGAGGACTTTCTAAGGGAAACTGGCTCGTATACACGTTACACATGGGGAAAACCACGAAAACGCCCATGCAGCCAGCCCGTTTGCGGGATTCGAACCTCGGACCGAACTACCAGTGTTCAGCGTCTTTACCGCTCGGCCGCTGGTGGGCCTCTAGTGTCATTGAATACCGTAACGTTAGCAAGCAGTTGAAAGGGGGAACTATAGACATCTTTAAAGCCAAAATTAAATTAAATCTGGGAAATAATGACTCCCAGTTCTGAAACCTCCTTAATGTAAAATGTTTAGCTCTTTTATTAAAGAAAGTAGCTGGTGAAAACTGAGACACGTTTTAGTGAGCCTTTGTTCTCTTCGGGAATAATGCTTTTTTATTTTGGCTGAGAAAAATCGAACAAAGTATAAAGATACCTTAGGGCTTACATCTATCAGAAATCTGTCTTAGACACAAAAATTCCGATACTCTAAGACTAGAGCCTGCTGTGAAAACCTATATTTTGCTGCACGATTATTATTTGTTCGGCGACATATTTTT